AATCCTCAGTCTGAGAAGAAAAGGCTGAGAGGGGACTTATTGCTGTCCGTAAATATCTAAAGTGCAGGAGTCAAGTCAATGGGGACAGGCTCTTCCCAGTGGCATGAAGCAACAGAACAAGGGGCAATGGGCAGAAACTGGAATGCAAGTGCTAACTCAAAGAAGAACTTTACTGTCAGAGCTGGAAGAGGCTGCCCAAAGAGGTGGAATGGATCTCCTTCACTGGAGATATTCAAGACCCAACAGGATGCCTATCTGTGTGACCTACTTTGGGGAATCTGCGTTAGCGGGGATGTTGGACTTTATGATCTTTGGATTTCATTTTCAACACCTACAATTCTGTGCCTTGCTGAACCTGCTTGGTGCTCGTGGGTGGAGCTGCAGCTTTGCATGTGAACTCTGTGCTGCTCTGTATCTGCCATTTCCAGTCTTGACTGTGGGATCTCTCGTGGCATAGAGCTGCAAGGGGTACAATGACTGCCTCATCCTTTAAGTTGATCAGCAGTTCATCTGACTGGGAGTCCTTAATATGCTTAAGGAATTGTCACAGCACAAAAATAAAGAGGAATTGAGGGATCTGAACATCTCTCCTCTGGTGCTTCAGAAATGTCCTGCACAGCTCTTCCATTGACATACCCTTTACACTAGAAGACTGAACATAATGAGATTACAGCAAAGTATGTATTGAGGAAGGGTGCTTTTTGACAAGGCAGTAATGTCAGTTATTGAGCACTACCATTTCTTGCAGCAGGAACATTCCTATTGCACTAATTGTCAAAATAAAAGCCTTGAAGGCATTGCTAACACTTTCTCTGTTCTGCTCTGGCATTTCCCAAGTCCCTCTTGGGCAATTAATTCTGCACAGACAGCTGTGAGCAGTAGCAGGCTGTGGGTTTAGGTAGTATGGGTTTTTTTTGTTTTGTTTCTCATTTCATCTCCCAAATCCAGATTGATTTGAGGTTAAGCTTAACAGGTCCTTGTTGGCACAGAACTTCTGCATAGTTTTTTGGTTTTTTTTTAATGCTTTTTTTTTTTTTTTTTTTTGCCAAGAGTTTAATAATAATAATATACACCATTAGCAACCTGGTGTTCGTAAGGCAGAGTTTGGAATTAAACATGGATTAACTTTTAAGCTACCAGACGACCACCACACATTCCTTAACAGGATCTGGCACTATTACTTTTTCACTGTAATATGGAACATAAACCATTTCTGTTCCAACAGTGCTTCCATCGAGCAGTCTGGTTGTTTGCAGTTTTTTTCTATGACGAGGTCTATGAGCTTTGTTTCACACGACAATAGGATCATTGTTATATATTGTATGAAAGTCATCTACTGTATGCTGCAGACTGCACATACGTTGGCTGTTAACAGGCCTGACCAAATTCTGATGTGAAATCAGATGTGTTCTCCTTGTACTGTACTTGCTCTGAAAATAATGCTTTCTATTTATTTACTATTATAACAAAAAGCACTAACACTATTTGATAAGAGCAAATTCCCAGCCACAAAACACCATTTTTCAGCGTAGCCACCACCATTATCTATACATTTTCACCAGAGATGAACAAAAGCCTGTGTGCCATTCTCATAAAAATCTGCACCAGTAGAAGTGACCCACAGTTTCACAGCTGCTGTGATGGCATTACTGCTGAAATGCACCACCTACCACTTCAGTACGCTCACACTCACTGTTTGAGCTTCATAAATGCTCAGCAAGGGTCAGTGGATACCATTTTTTTCCTATCTTCTGTACATGGAATACCTTTAGCCAGGAGCAAGCTGTGACATGAAGGCAGTAGGTTGGTCCAGTGCAAAACAACAAGCTGAAACCGCAAGGAAGTTCCAGGTGTTCTGGAACAAAGAGTAATTTTAAACTTTTAGTTATTTATTTATTGCTAAACACTCCTGGAATGATGTTACAGGTCTGTCTGTACAGGTGCTACAGGAACTGCCAGTATACAAGACCTGATTTAGTCAGGACAAACAGCATCTTTGAATCAAGGAAAGTGTGAAGTTCTGCTGCAGAGAGTGAGCTTGCACTCAGTGCTGGCAGGAAGGGAGAAGAATCCCTTCCTTTTCGTAGAAGGGCTATTCGTGTCATTGGCCATCCCAGAGCAATAGAGGAAGCCTTTCTGTAGCCTATTGCATGGCTGCAGTTTAGAGGCTATCCAGCACCATCCTTGCAGCTTACAGGTCTCGGGCTGCAGGTGTTGGCCACCCAGCATCAGAATTGCCTGAAAACATTAAAATTCTTTTTAACCTTCATCAACAGATCTGGTATTGCTACTGTTCCAGGGGACTTCAGAGTTTGTAACACATCTCCCAGGGCCATGGTAGGTGGTAGGGATCCACATAAGAACATTCATACCACCTCCCAGCAAATCCCCTCTACCACGAAGTGCACCTGGGCTTTGCTGCTGACCTGGATGGTGTCTATAAGGCACAGCAGCACTGCAGTGGTAAAACAACAATGAACCCAGACCATCCAAATGATCCCATGTAGTGCTTCCTACCACACCTCCCATACATCTTCAGTACTTTAGCATAGTCTTCACCTGTCTGGGATGTCAGAATGGAACGTGCTCACATTTGAGTATATTGCTGTCCTAGTGCTTCTTTCAGCTATTCCATTGTCCACTGTAGCCACGATGCCAAGAAATTGTTCTGCACTTGTACCAGTGACTCCACAGCCTGTGAGGAAAGGCAACGTGCTCACAGATTCAGGAGGAAAGGAGTAAAAATTGAGGCTGATAAGTATACTGCCTACCATTAGGTTTCATTTTACCAGGGAGATGGGGAAGGGGGAAGATATTGATACTTTTGGCTCAGGTTAATCAGCCTCAATTGAAAATAAAGTACCCTCAAGACAGCTGGATTGCACTTGCACTAAACAGGAGTTTAAGGGCACATTACTCTTCATTAATGCTACCATCATTCACTCTGGAAATGGTTATCCTGGTGAAAGCAATTCAGTGGGAGAACAGCTGACTGGGGGTGTACCAGTTACCACCAGAAAAACCGTGATGCTGTCCAACAGGTAGCTGCACCCTTCTCAAAGCACCTTCTTTATGGAAGGCTCTGCTTTGCTTCCTGCTGTTTCAGAAATGACAGCTCCGCACACACGATGCCCAGTCCAGCTTCATCACCACACTCCACAGTTGGACATAGTTCAATGCAGGCTGGCTTCTGTAGAAGCTACAGGTCTGCCTGGGCAAAAGTAACAGGCAAGGCAGCAAAGGTGAGGCAGAAAAGCCTGTTTGCGTATCTGTCTGTTCTTACTGTATACACTCCACTTCTTCCCAGGGCTCAGTGCTACACCATTTCAGCAGCTATCATGTTGTACCTTCTGTTTCCTTGCATCAGAATCTCAAAAGTGACCAAACACGTAAAAAATTCAACTCAATCCATCCTTTTTGGAGGAGACTTGGATAAAGAATAGGAGGCAGAGAAAAACATCTGGAGAAAACAACATCTGTGGACAAAGCAGGCTGCACCCTGCTGCTTTGCTGTAGAAATTTGCACTACAAGTGGGCTCTCTGGGACTTAGCACAGGGCCTTCCTCTGTTTAAGGCACTGATTGCTGAGTGCAGTGACAGAACTGCATGTCGAGATGCTCCCTGCAGCGGGTGGCTTCTCAAAGCAGTTCCATTTGTGAACAGCACTCCCTCAGTCACCATTTCTTTGCCCCCCACCCTTTGCCTGCATCTTTATGAGAATTCAGCACACTGAGCAGCAGTGGACATTTCTTTCAAATAAACAAACAAAGCTTACAGAAAGCAGTGATGTTCAAGGGTGTGTATAAACAGGAGGGGGAACGGCTGTTTATAAGGGTGGATAGTGATAGGACAAGGGGGAATGGTTTTAAGCTGAGACAGGAGAGGTTTAGGTTGGATATTAGGAGGAAGTTTTTCACCCAGAGGGTGGTGAGGCACTGGAACAGGTTGCCCAAGGAGGCTGTGGATGCCCCATCCCTGCAGGCATTCAAAGCCAGGCTGGATGTGGCTCTGGGCAGCCTGGGCTGCTGGTTGGTGACCCTGCACATAGCAGGGGTTTGGGACTGCATGATCACTGTGGTCCTTTACAACCCAGGCCATTCTATGATTCTATGATACTTACAACCAAACAGCAGATTTTTTTTTTTGCCCCCTCATTAACCAGTTACCGAACAGAAGAGCCACTGAGCAGTTTATTTGACATTGCTGCCGACCGCAGTATAACGCAACACACGTGGATAACTTTGGCCAAAGCACGCAGCCCGCACGGCTGTTCTACACCGGAGGCAAACAGCACCCAGCAGCAGCAGCTTAGTCATCGTCCTTCAGCTTCTTGATCTTATGCTTGTGCCGCTCGATCTCCTTCTGCAGCCGCTCGATCTCCTTCTTGTGGTGATCGATCTCCTCCTCGTGGTGCCTCCTCAAGGCCGCCAGCTGCTCCCGCTCCTTCTCCCTGTAACGGAACACAGCGCAGGTGGGCCCGGCACGGCGTGACCGCGCACGGCGTGACCGCGCACGGCGTCCCGCCGAGGTCCGGAGGCTCACCTGAAGTAACGCTCCTCCTCGGCCGCCTGCTTCTTACCGAAAGCCCCTCCGGCCTCGCGAATGGAGCCGCCGCCGCCGCCGCCCTTCCCGGCGCCTTTGCCCAGCTCGCCCAGCTGCGGGGAAACGAGGCGTTGAGCGCGGCGCCCCGCACGCTCACCCCGCCCCGCACCGCCCCGCACGCACCTGGTCGGCGCCGGAGCCCGAGCTCCAAGCGCGCTGCTGCTGCTGCGCCAGGAGGGCCCCGCGCAGGCCGCCCCGCAGCGCCGACACGGCCGCCATGTCCGCCTGCCCTTGGAGCGCCGCGTGGGCGGGGCCGCACCGCGCCCAGCCCCGCCGAGCGGGAAGAGCCCGACTGCGCACGCGCCGCTCCCGCCGCTCCGCCCCCCCTCCCCCTCCACCCCCCCTCCCCCTCCACCCCCCCCGTTGCCGCGACGCGCCGCTGCGATCACGTGCCGGGGGCGCCGCCTTCTCGGTCGGTTTCGGCGTCGCCTTCGCGCGTGCGCGCGGCGTCACGTGGTGCTGGCGATGGCGGCTCCGGAGGAGCGCGGGGCGGGGGGCGCCGCCGAGGAGGCGTTCCTCACCTTCTACAGCGAGGTACCGGCGGCCGGCCGTAGGCGGCGGCGGGGGCGCGGGCTCGGCCGCGTTCTCCAGAGCTCCGTCTGCCCGCCGACGGCTCGCCGCGGCCTATCCGGCGCCGCCGGGGCCTGGCGGGCGGAGCGGAGCCTGCGTGGGGGCGGGCGGGGGCGGCGCGGAGGGGCCCGGCTGGGTGAGCGCTGCGGGCGGGCGAACCCCGCGGCCCTGTGGGGCTCCGAGCTCAGCCCTCGGCTCTGCTCCGCGCTCCTCCGGCCCGCTCCGATGAATCCCCGCACGCCGCCGGCTCTGCTGTCAGCTCCGAGCTCAGCTGCCGTTGCCCTGCGGCCGGGGGAGCTGGAGGGGAGCCCGGCACGGTTCGCTGTGCGTCCCTCGGGTTGGTAACTGAGCCCCGCCTGCGTGTTCCTTTCCCTAAAGGTGAATGGCGGGTGCCGATAGCGGGTTTGGGCTGGGTTAACGGTGAGAGGATCGAAGAGAAAACTGCGCTGCTGGAAAAAAAAAAATGGTCGAAGTGAGAAGTGTTTGCTTGCTTAGGGTGATGTGGTGGCGTTCGTTGTCTCTCCCTGCAGCGCTGGGTTAAAAGCAGCCGCGCAGTTGGTATCCAAGGTATCGGGATGACAGTGCTGGCAAAGTGTAGGAGTGAAGTGAGGGCAAAAAGGCACAGCTGCTGAGCAAGCCGTGGAAGACAAAGGCAGAAGTGCTTTCTACACTTCTTTCACAGCTGGAAGATGATGCTGAAAGTACTGTTGTGCTGTAGAAATCACAGAATGGCCAGGGTTGGAAGGGACATCAAGGATGATGAATCTCCATCCCCCCTGCTGCATGCAGGGCCACCAACCTCCACATCTAATAGCAGCCCAGGCTGCCCAGGGCCCCATCCAACCTGGCCTTGAACACCTCCAGGAATGGACGGGGCATCCACAGCCTCTCTGGGCAGCTGTTCCAGCACCTCACCACTCTCACAGCAAAAAACTTCCCCCTGACATCCAACCTCAATCTCCCCTCCCTCAACTTCAAAGCATTTCCCCTTGTCCTGCTGTTATCAACCCTTTCAAAGAGTTGAAAACACTGAAAAATGTGCCCTGCTAATGGTTGAGTAATTATGAGCTTGGGATGTGCAAGAGGTGTTGTGAGTTACAGCACGGAATGATAACAGTTTGTGGCTGTCACATAAAAAGGCAGGTAAGCATGTTGTTTAATTGGTTGGTTAATAAGAGTGTCTTTTGTTCTGCAGGTAAAACAAATCGAAAAACGAGACTCTGTTTTAACATCAAAAAACCAAATTGACAGGCTGACCCGACCTGGATCTTCTTATTTCAACTTGAATCCTTTTGAGGTTAGTCTGAACTAATCTCCTGTCTGACTTAGCGCACCCAATTCTGGATTTACTGAGTATTTCTTTCTGAAAAGAGGCCAGTCGTCAGAAAGATACAAATTTCTGTTCGTGGCTTACAGTGCAGGAGACAGAAGGATGGTGTATACGTGCTTGTTCTCTTAATGGCAGGAAGAAATTGTGTTTGTTGGCACGCTTTTCTTGTTTAACAGCACTGGGAGATTTGGCAGAGTAATACTAAATACTTTGTGAATGATATCATAACAGGTGGCACATGGTCAGGTTCTCTTCTGATCACAGATTCTCTTCTGACCAGCATTTCTGATTGTCCCTTATTTTGGGTGTTCATCCCACTGAACTTCTGTGCATAGGATAGAGAGACTCCCACTTATCATACCAGAGACCAATCCTGGAGGACTCACTGGGAATTGGAAAATTCCATTCCATGTTGTATTGTGCAGTTCCAGTTGCAATCAGTTAAAATCTTAAAAGGGAAACAATGAAGAGAACATATGGTGGTGGTGTTCTGGGTATTCATACAGTCACAGATTGACTTGGGTTGGAAGAAACCTTAAAGCCCACTCAGTTCCAACCCTCTGCCATGGTGTGGAACAATTGCTATGGGTGATTTGCAAACTAAGGTGCAGAATTGGTCAAGGGTCCAGAAGCAGAGTGTAGTTGGTACAGGGGTCCATTAAATGGCACAGAGTGTGGAGCAGAGTACAGACACTGCAGCCAAGTTCTGTGATCCATAGAGCCTCCCTGGGCAATTTTAGAGGTTGGCAGCATCAGCAGAACCTGGTATACTGACTCCTAAGAAGAGCAGTGCTGGGATGGAGACTTGGTAGTGCCAAACTGCTTACCTGCAGCCCCCAGGCCAAAAGTCTGCCATTGTTTTTTGACAAAATGCTGTCCTTCGATGAATTTTGCTCATTATACATGCACTGTAATACCAAAACAAACCTTCATCCCAAAAGCTACTTTCTCCTGAGGTGCAACTGCCTCTTACTGGGGGTGCACTCTGATTTTTTTTAGCTTATATCTTTAAAAGCAGGGTGAGATAATTTTACACCAAGCATGAACAAAAGTAATGTGTGACTCAAGTTCCTCAAGCTCTACCTGTAAAATAAAAAATATCATAAAAATGGCTTAAAAGAGGGAGAATGTTAGGGAAGATTCCATCAGATGTCAGACATGGACCATCTTTTACTTCTAGGTTCAGTCAACAGGCTGAGCCGCCATTCCCCTCCATAGGGATGCTTCTTGGGTAAGGCTTGCACTCTCAGTAATGCTGAGTGCTTCCCTGGAAGACACAGTAATTTCTGTTAGTCACATTCTTGGTTAACTTCTCGTGCTTTGCAGACAAGTGTGTTTATCACCAGCAATCCAAAAGAACCTGTAATCTGTTGCTTTAATGAACTGCACAATTCACTAATCTAGCTGTGAGAGTTCTTAGTCTGGGCATGGCCCAAACTCTTTGAGTGGCCATGGAACCCATTTGGATGCTGCTAGATGAATTGGGCAGCGTGCTGTCTGTGAATCCATAATCGTGGAAGTTCTGTGACCAAACTTAAAGCACTGAGTTGGGCATTGCTCAGAATCTATGTTCAGCTGTCCCCAGCCCCTCTGATATCCCAGGACAAGCTGACATGCAATGGAGTTTATTTTCTGCCAAGTTACATTGCCCTTTGATGCAGCAAATGGACTGGTTGCCCCCTGGCAGATGAGACTGTGTAGGGCCCTGTGCTGCCTGGCCTTGAGCACCTCCAGGGTTGAGGCATCCTGTGCCAGGGTCTCACTTGCCTCATGATGAAGAATTTCTTCCAAATATCTATACTAAATCTTCCCCTCTTTCAATTTAAAACTATTACCCCATGTCATATAGCTACCCTTCCTAATAGAGAGTCCCTCCCCAGATTTCTTGTAGGTAATGGAAAGGTCAAAATGAGGTCTTCTAGAGCCTTTGCTTCTCAAGGCTGAACAACCCCATCTCCCTCAGCCTTTCTTCACAAGAGATGTGCTTCAGCCTTTTGAGCATCCTCATGGCATCACCTGGACCTGCCCCTCAGAGCTGAATGCAGTGCTGTTGTTGGGGATAATTGCTTCCTTTGACCTGTCCTGTTAGCTGCAGTCCTTTTGATGCAGCTCAAGATATGGTTGGCTGTCAGGGCTGCGAGTGCACATTGCTGGCTTATGCTCTGTTTCTCATCCTCTAAACAAGAGTTCTTTCCTGATGTCATCCCTGTCTGTTTTTCTAATAGACTCAGGTGCTTTTCATAGCCCAAATTTAAGGCTGATCATTCAGGAGGTTCACTTTGCAGTGTTTGGTTCTGTGTACATCTCATTGCTTGACCTGGAGAGCAAATTACAGAAGCCGTTTAAAAGTAGGCTGCAGCTTTTCTGCAAAAAAAGTGTTTTGTATTTCCAGATTCTTAGTGTCAGACCAGTGTGTATCCACGCTGAGTAAGTTCAGTTGTTGCTTAGTGCTTCTGTTAGTAAATTGATTCACAGAACAGTTCCTAAACATTTTTTGTGAGTTCATTGCATCCCTAAAGAACAACGAGTTGTAAGCTTGTTCATGGAAGCCAAGCAGTAAAACTCTTCCATCTTTCAAAAGCTAACAGACAAAATCAACAAATCCTTACAAAATAATGTGTTTCTTGCCCACTGGTTCTCAGTTACAAATTGTCTGACTGTGTCCCAAAGCCATGATGTGCTTCTGTTTCTACTGAACTAAGTAACGGATTTGGTTGAAGGTTTGGACCAAAGATGGCTATTTAGGGATGGTAGCTGTCTGTACAAGATTAGAGTGTGGAAAGGGCTCTGACATACTCAAAGAAACATAGCATTGCTGAAAGTAGAATGTCCCAAATATGCTGTTCCTTTAAATGTCTGTGTTTTACTCGGTGAAAATTCATATCCTGAAGCAGCTCCCCATTGGGGTGAGCTTTCTGACATTGTGCCTGTATGCTGATGAACCAAGTATTCAGAGCTTGCTGCCAGGAACTTGAAATGTGGGGCATACCATTGAATTTACTCTGTTGTTGTGATATTTTTTAGGTTCTGCAGATGGATCCTGAAGCCACAGATGAAGAAATAAAGAAAAGGTTCCGACAGGTATTTGACTTCTGCATTTGAAGCTTCTGAACTGAAAACTAGAAGCTCTGCAGAGATTGTGCAGCTGTGCTTGGGAACAGGGAAAGCAGTAGAAAAGTTGTGTCTGGGTAGAGACAAGTGGCTGTTTTGTGAAGAGACATGTAGAACAATCTTTGTATCCACGAGGGGAAAACTGCACAAGGGTGCCTAGTCTGTGCATGGTATGCTGCTTTGTAAAACGTGTGACTGAGCTACTATGAACTGAAATGCCCACATATAAGCAGTGTATTGAAGTTTAGTCCGAAGAGGAGGTCAACATTTGACAGAAATTGAAGATCTGTGAAAATGTATTTCTCTTAAATACATCATCTTTGATCCAGAAGTATTTATTTTTGAGATTTCCTTAAGAATTTCACCAGTTATTTTTTTTGTGGTTGGGCTACCTGAGAGAGCAGCAGCCCTGCTCTGGAGTGCTTCTTCATTATTCCATGCAACACAAGAAACATTATTCCAGACTTATTCTGCTGTAGATCTGCAGGAGAAATGCATGCAGCAGAAAGATGCACTTTTCAGAGGGCTGCATTTTGCCATCTGAATTTGTTCTGTGGACATGGAGATCTGGCTTTAGACAGCCAACAGCTCTCTTGTCCTGATGAAGGAGCATACTTGCTGAGGTGCTGGCAGGTGCACTATGCTTATTCATGGGGAATGGAAGGATAACCTTTCAGTTGGTTGCTGAGTTCTCAATTTTGCTTATTAATGAACACAGCTGCCTTAGCTTTATGCTAATAGAATACTGCAGAGAAGTGTTTTGAAGTCAAAGTGATGGAATGAAATCAGTGTGTGGAATTATTAATTGTAGAAATCAAATGCCTAATTGCAGAATCTGGAACAGCCAATAGAAGGAAAAAGATACTGGCTATTGCAAGTCACAGAGTAAATGAGCACTGTGCTGTTCTTGGGGACAGGAGGGAAACCTTTTTTCTATGAACCAGCAAGTGTCATGGGAGGTCAGGAAGTGAATATTTTATGTTCACTAGTGCAACTGGTTTTCAACATCATAGTAGGAAAGATGTAGATAAACTAGAGAGTCTGGCTAACAGTGACAAAAATAAAAAGTATGGGAAAAGAATGCTGTGTGGAGAAACTTTTAGAGTGTTCTCATCCTTTAAAAGGGGAAAATAAGGAACATATGCTTTCTTGTTGCTTTAAGGCTGTCCTAAGATGCTAGTGATCAGTGTCCTGACTGCTCTGTAGAGACTGCTTAACTTTCAGTAAAGGAGTCTAAGGAAAAAATTTACTCATCGTTTTAAGTGGTTTAGTATTTGAGTAACTTTAAAGATCCTAGAGATGTAGAACAAGAGGTAAATTATGGCTGAGGATGGTCTTTGTAGATTTGTTTCTTTTTAAGACCAAGGGTTTGAAACTCGTGAGCAAGTGGTTCATGTCAGCCCTATGCTACTATGGCTGAAAGGTGTTTGTATGGCTGCGTGGCCCAAACTGCAACTTTTCTTAACCTTCTCATTACAGAAGTTGGACCTGATTTTCAGTGAGAAGCCATTATAAACTTTTACTGATGTTTAGTCTACTGTGTTGTCAGCTGATTTGCCCATACACAAAGGGATGTCATCCTTTCTGATTCCTCCTGTCTGAACTGTTCTCTCCTCTCACAGAAACCACTGAAGCAGTCTTTTCTTTTTTACAAAGATCGTGATGGCAAGATTCTTTCTTTTGCAGCTGTCAATATTGGTACATCCAGACAAAAATCAAGATGATGCAGATAGAGCTCAGAAGGCATTTGAAGGTAAGTCTGTGCTACTGACTCTCATCCTTTCTAAGCTGCAGTGTGTAGTAGTTGGACTGTTGTTTTCTTGTGTTGCTGTTCTAAATGCTTTAAGGTCTGTGGCCCCACCAAAGGACAGAATTGTTGCAGAGGTGTCAAGAGAGAAGCAGATGATGGCATTTGGTTGGCATTTCAGCAGCAGCATTTCACTAGGTGGCAGTAATGGTTTTATTGTTAGCTTGTAGTAGGACAAACTCATCCATTGGGCTTCAGGATAGTTTAAAAAAACCTGTTTATTCTGTGCCTTAGATTTTATTCATTTTATTACTGTTGTAATAAAATGATTTCAGAGGCATTGCCAACCTTAACCTCATACCTTGTGACTAAATCACTTGGTAGGATTGATGCTTTAACCCTATATAGTCCAGAGGTGTCTGACAGTCTCTGACACTACCACACCCCAAATCTCATTTGACTGATCATGAAATCACCTGGATGTAATAGGAAGAAAATAAAACCACAAAAAACACCTCAGAGCCCTACAAAGTAGCAATCTTGTGATGCCTTTTGAATGTGACTACTGGTGCTATTAATGTTGGTACTTGTTTTTTAGCTGTAGATAAAGCATACAAGTTGCTGCTAGATCAGGAGCAAAAGAAGAGGGCCTTGGATGTGATACAGGCAGGAAAAGAATATGTGGAACATACTGTAAGTATTCCATAAACTGTTCTTAATTTGATTTTTTTGTATATCTTGTGTGTGTTTAGGTCATTAAAAGGTGAACTGAGCAAAACTCCTGATGCAGCTGTGCAGGTGGACTGAGCTTCTCAAGGCATCAACAATTGGGCTTTGTCCAAGGCTGCGTTTGAGCTCAGTGCAGGATAACTCAGTGAAATTCAGTACTTGAAATAATTAGGTCAAACCACAAGATGTGACCTAAATAGTTTTTTCGAGTCCGTGAATGAATGATGCAGTTCAGATCTGTGTAGGTGGAAGATAATAGGTGGTGAAAGCTGAAGACTGGGAAGTTTTGGGAAAAAACTTGACCTAGAAGATAAGGAAAGGAGCTTGGATTGCAATGGTCAAGAAGTTAGTTGAGTAATATGAGCAGATCATACATAACAAGCTGGTAGGGGAGAACTCAGATGCTGTAAATCAAGGCACGCTTTATGTTCTGCTTGTTATTGTTAATGTTTCAAGTATTGCAATGCAAAATAAACTTCCTGCTAGTTTGGATTGTACATATTGGATGTAAATGTACCTTAAAAACAAACTAACAAAAAAAAAGAAGGGGATTATGTTGGATGAATAGTATCTAACTTGTTATTTTTAATGACTGCTGTTCACATGACAGCGATCTTGTGTATATTTGGGCTGAGGGCCAGGAGATTTTGATGTAAAATAAGACATAGATCTAAATCAAGAACTTATGGTCATCCAAAGTTCTTCAAACAACACAATATACAGTTAGGGGAGCTGTGTAAAACTTCGTAGGCTCTTACTTTTGTTCATAATCTTTAGGTGAAAGAAAAAAAGAAGCAATTGAAGAAGGATGGAAAACCTCCCAATGTAGAAGAAGATGATCCTGAAGTTGTAAGTTTTGCTTCAGAGTGACTGAGGAGTACAGAATGCATTTTGAGAAATGAGAATCAAAACCAATATGCAGACATTTCTTTGGCTGTTTTGAGTGTTGTAAATCTTTCTGCTTACAGAAGAATAAGTTGTAAGTGACTGTAGAAGTTCCATCCATTGAGTTATATCCATTCTGGAAGTCGTTTGACTGTGGTGTAAAAAGGAAATGCATTTTGATATTACGTAGATTAAAATATCCAGTTCTTTCCTAGGAGAAAGACATCATACACTCTTTTTTGAATTGAAGTTCATTTTGTGTTCTGAATGCTGGAGCTGTGGCATTCTTACTGCCAGCAGAGGCACACATAGAACCCATTGCAGCTTGTCTAAAATCTGCTTTTAGGGACATTTTGTAGGAAGGGTTGTTTGGGCTTTTTCTTGCATGTAGGATAGAATTGCTGTTTCGAGGACAGATTTGCTGTTCTGCAATAAATTAGTCTTACAAATTCACCCTTTTTTTCCTATGAAGTGTTTTTTTCCCTCTTGGTATCATCCTAGTAATGGTCTTATTTTGCATTGATTTTCAAAGGTCTTTTGCTGTTCATTAATAATGGAGTTTGTTTTAATTATAGCGATATTTTCCACTGGAAAGCCAGGGCTCGATTGTTACAACACATCAAGGAGGTCTGCTGGGAAATCACCATCTCTACGTGACCATTTAGCCTTTTTTAATATGTCAAATATCATGGCATTGCAGAACTCAGTGGAAAAAATAAGAGAGTTTGAAATGAAGTTCAGTTTAGGTACAGCTTCATGAATACAAATGAAAATGAAATATTATTATGCTATTAAGTAATTGTTTCCTAGTTATGTTAAGACCAGAACTTAATCAGCAGTGTTTTATACCATCTCCTACATCTCTCCTATGCACTGCTCTCAATGCAGGATGTGAAGCTGTGTAGGCACACAAATGCTTTACTTTCTTCTTATGCTTCTTACATCCTTCTGTAAAACAGATTTCTCTAACTGTGTTAACGTGCATTGTTTTAAAACCAAATTTGTGTTTTGCAGTTCAAACAGGCTGTATACAAACAGACAATGAAGCTCTTTGCTGAACTGGAAATTAAGAGGAAAGAAAGAGAAGCTAAAGAAATGCATGAAAGGTACAAATAGCATTCTGCTTGTGCAGCTCAGGCTCTGCTTTGCCCCTCACACTTCCTAGGAAAAGATTAGAAATTAGAGAATCTGAGGAAAGTATATGTTTGAACTGACCTTTGGGAGTCATCTGGTCCAACCTACTGCTGGAAGCACAGCCTTGGATTAGGTTAACAAGGATCCTGTCAGAAAGAAGCCTGAATACTTCTAATGATGTAGATTCCACGTGTTCTTTATCGAGTGTAGATGTCTGCTGTGCTTGAAGAAAGAGAATAGGAAACTTTCCATCCTATTAAGATACATTTACTATGCTTATATAATCTATAGAGGCCAGCAAAAACAATGAAATGGTTTTACGTGTTGTTAGCATGCAAACAGTTGATTTTTATTTTTAACTAATTGCCAGAAATACCTCGTGGCACGAGGTATTGTAATCAATCACCTCTTGTCTGAGTAGTTGCTGTAGATGCACTTCACAGAGCAGGGCTTCTGTAGATGAAAATTAAGGAAAAAACCTTCTCATTCTTACTTGCATGCTCACATGTTTGTTAACTTCTCAAAATGTGTACCCTGAGCAGTTTTAGATAGTTATCACTAGAGTTATTAAGGATTCCAACCTGTTTTACAAGAGAAGATGACTCGCTGATTAAACATGTCTGCTGTCAGTGGTGCCGTGTTATCATCTCTTCTCTCTTCAGTTTTGAAACCAGTTTTTTTTGCTGTGTAGCCACAGGTGAGCATATTTACTGACAAGAACTGTAATTTGCCAAGGAGTTGGAAGAGCTTTCAGAGATGTGTTGAAAGTGTCACTGTGTTTCTTTAATGAAGGTGCTTGTGGTTCACAGCTTCTTCATGACTTCCCTTCCAGGAAACGACAAAGAGAAGAAGAAATTGAAGCACAGGAGAAGGCTAAACGAGAACGAGAGTGGCAGAAGAACTTTGAGGTAATCAGCAGCTGAACTGAATGCCATGTCTGGGATGGGCCTCAGCAATTCTTAGCTATGCTGCTGGAAATGCCTCTGCAAAAAGAGACACTTTTTTTTGGCAGGTGCTCAAGCTAATTTAGATAAATGCTTAGTGAAATCATAGCATCATCACAGAATGGCCTGGGTTGAAAAGGATCACAGTGGTCATCGAGTTTCAACCCCCCTGCTATGTGCAGGGTCACCAGCCACCAGACCAGGCTGCCCAGAGCCACGTCATAGAAGTGGTTTGGCATAAATCTGATAGAGCTTTGATATCACTTCTCTGAAACAGGTGTACTGTAAATGAAGTTACAGTATTTTTTCAACTCTGTCTGCATCTTATTCTTAGCCCAAGTTAGAAGTTGGAATTCCTTCTTAGCCCAAGTCACTGGTGGTAATCATAGCTGTTTGAGCTGGATTGGTACTTACCAAACAGATTGCTAACATTTAGGGAATCTATATTTCTTACAAATACCAAAGATCTAAATAATTGCTACTTCCCTTTGCTCCTTCTAATCTATATTCAAGGTCTTGAAGTACCATGAGGGCTCTGTGGTTGTTGTGCTGCTATTCAGACCTGCAGTCTGCCAAAGTATCTGATCTAGCCTGTAATTCCTCCTTTATTACACACCAGAGGGCAAGTTCTATGGCATGGAGGGCAGGGTGGACAGGAAAGAATTTAATAACCACATGCAGGACCTCATGAAAGGATGTGCTACATTGTTCAGTTACCCTTAAACTTAATTCCAGGCTATGTACGAGAGGCCTTTATAAAACAAGATGTCTGGGAGAGAGTTGTGTGTGCTGGGCTGGCATCCTTTGGAAAGGAGACAGCTGGGATTTTTCCAGAGACTTAAATGGGCAGAGTTTCTCTGTTCATATGCTGTACCATATGGATACTGGAAGCTGGGTGTTCTGGAAAACACTGAACTGACTGCATTTGTGTAATACTGCTGTGTTGAGTGCACAGTGGAGTTTTGTCATTATTGCCAGGTAGAGAAATGTGTGCCACTCGTAGTGTTGCTGGCAGAAGTTCTGTGATCTGTGGTCATTGTGGTTGGAGAAATTGGGTGTTGTTGCTCTGCAGATGCAGTAAAGGATAGAAGCTGAGGAAATGTGAACTCATATTACAAGCAAATAATGATGTACCAAAAAGGAGAACTGCAGAGCTATTAATACTGCTTCTAAACACTGAACCTCTGCACTTGCAAGTGTCTTCTCCAGCCTTGTTGGTGACAGCTCCATAAATACGAAGAGAGAGTATCAGAACTAAGTGCTAATGTTCAAAGTAGATCATCTAATCTACAGGCATAAGAAGTTTATTTCTGCTTGTGGCCATAGACAGGAAAAAGTATACTGACTGTAGCTGCCTTTGCAGTGTATCTGAAATGAATGAGCGTGATGCACAAAAAAAAATGCCTGCAAAAGTGTTTGTGCTGTGCCTCTGCTTCATTCTTCTGTAGTTACCAGCTCCTGGTGATTCTTGTCCCTGCTTGAACACTGCATGTTCTTTGGTCAGCTCACTGTCTCTTTATCCTGAGGACCTGTACTTTTGATCCTTACATGTGTTCTGCAATACTGCTGGATCCTCACAGGATCAGCCTTGAGAGCTGAATCATATTTTGATGTATCCAAATGCAGTAAATTTTAATGCTTTCTCCTCCTTCCCCCTACCCAATATTTGCTTTCTCAGAAATTTCAAGCTATCATGGCTTCTACAAACAAATTGTAAGAAACAAGAGGGTTAGAACAGAAGTTGCCATATCCCTCAAAAAAGTGTTATCATGCAACAGTCGAGGTTGGAAGGGATCTCTGTAGGCGAACTTCCCTACTCAAGCAGGTCCACCTTGAACCATTTGTCCAGGACCATGTGTTTCCTAGCACTCAGAACCTCCTGTGTGTCAGTCTGTGCCCATTGCCTCCTGTCCTTTCACTCGGGTACCACTGAAAAGTCTTGCTCTGTTTCCATTGCACCTTCCCTTCAGATCTTTGCATGTGTTGATGAGGTACCCCAACTGAGCTTTTTCTTTCCTAGGCTTCACAGTCCCAGCCAGCTTTCATAGGAGAGATGTTCCAGTCATAGCATCTCTGTGGCCCTTTGCTGGACTCTCTGTAATAACTTGATTTCTGTCTTCTGTTGGGAAGCCTGGGCCTTAATGCAGCACTTCAGATGTGACCTCATCAGTGCTGAGCAGAGGGAAAGGATCACCTCTCTTAGCCTGCTGGCAATGCTCCTAGTGCAGTCCAGAATACCCTCAGCCACCTATGTGGCAAGGATGTGTTGCTTGTGGTCAACCTGGTGTCCATCAGGACCTTCAGGACCTTCACTGCAGAACTCCTTTCCAGCTGGGTGACCTCCAGCATATATTGATGCCAGGTGTTGTTCTCCCAAGGGCAGGACTTTGCACTTTTCCTCACTGGACTTCATTAAGTTCTTACTGGATGCTTTCTCCAGCTTGTCAGGGTCCCTTTGGATGGCAGCATGACTCCTTGATGTCTCAGTGGAGCATTATATTTTTGTCATCTGCAAACTTACTGAGCGTGCACTGTCCCATTATCCAGATCACTGCCTTCTGCCATACAGCCACAGAGGAAAGATGGGAGGGAGAACAGCTATTGTAGCCTTTTGTGCAGCACCAGTAGTGCAGGCAACAGATATTTATTCAGAAGGGACTTGAGCTTGTGGATCACACAGTGAAGTGAGTCATCCCTGCACTGGTTCAGTCCTGAAACCTTCAGCCTTTAAGGATCATAGGTTGGGTTTGTGAGGAGTCTTTTTTTCCCTTTTCAGGAGGATTCAATAGGCTCTAATCAGGCCTGCATATCCCAAGCTCATTTTTTGAAACAAGAAAGCAACGTATTGCTTGCACTGGTGTTTGTGAACTCACCTGTGGCTCCATTGTGCTGCATGTGTTGCTTTGGCTTTTCAGTGTCTGTATGTTCTGGCTGCCAGGATGCAGCATAAGGGGCAAATTGATACCAATCTCTCGAAGCTAGTATGCAAAATCTGCTCTCTGGCTCTTGCAGTTGTTAACCTTCCACTTCCTCTCTTTTGTTTCCAGGAAAGTCGGGATGGTCGTGTGGACAGCTGGAGAAATTTCCAGGCAAATACAAAGGGCAAGAAAGAAAAGAAGAACAGGACCTTCCTGAGACCTCCTAAAGTAAAAATGGAGCAGCGCGAATGATCTTGGCAGCACTGCCAAAGAGCAGCTCCCCAGTCCCCTCCCTGCTTTTAAGGACTCATTGGCACCTAGAGTAAGAATTGCTTTTTAGTAGACTGTTTGTTTCCAGTTCAATTAATTATTGGTCAAAGTATTTTTTTGTACTCAGTCCATTTGAACTAGGGCCATAGTATGAACCCAGCCAGGAACCCGCTAAATGTAGAATATGTGGCTTAGGAGGGTCCTCCCATTATTGCTGTCCTGTCTGTCTGCTGCCCTGTAACTCGATGTTTTGTACTTTACAGAGATTGTGCTGTTTCACTATATTCGTTTCTAGTTTGAGAGCTGAACAAAATATCAGAAATGCATCTGTATCTGTTCAGGCATCATCTTTCTCAGCAAGTTCAGCTTCAGGAAGGTCTGAGCTGACTCTGGAGATCCGCTTCCATTACTGTTCAGTGCAGCTGCTGCAGTTAAGAGACCTGCAGCTCCTCTCTGCACTGCATGGTGCTTGGAAGGACTCTTCTCCCAAGATCTGATTTCCATTCTGAAATCCCAGCTCTCAAGCTTACACTTCTGTTAATCTCAGACCAGCTGGTCACTTTCTGTAAAGATAAAATAACGTCTCAAATAATAGTTAAGTTGCAATGGTCTGTATGTAAAATAAATTTTTACCCAAGTTACCTTTTTTCTCTTTTTTTTTTTTTTTTGCAAGGAATTATTCAAAGATACAATTGCAAATTGAGTGCTGGCCACTGAGATATTACTACTGCTCAGTAACACTTGCCCTGGTAAGGTTTTGCAGTTATTCCAAAGTCTGATATGACTTGAATTTTGAATTAATAGTTCTCCATTGTGGCAATAAGAAGGACTGGAAGAAGACATCTTTTCCCTGGATGCTGCCTGAGTGGATTCTGGAGATGGTGTTTCAGGGTCCATGCTGATTCCTGGTTTTGTTGCCATGCCTTTGGGTGGTGAGCATAGATGGGGTGGGAGGACTTACGAACCTTGCAGGGGGAATGTAACTTCTCAGAGCTATGGGATCAGATTAAATGTGTGAGTTTTGTTTTTTAAAAATTGTGCTTCAGGTGTTCATTTAAGTTTCAAAGAGATTCTCAACTATTCAAAGGTATACAAAGTGGATTGTACTACTGATTTATATGTTCCTGGTGGACTCCTCTGTTGTCTGAGCTTGGAGACTCTTCCCTTCTGTCCAGATGGCAATCCTCATACCTGGGATTTGTGGGTAGATGCTCCCATGAAGATACTGCTCTTCATCCTCCTCACTGCCTCTAGCCAGTTCCCTTCATTTCTATTCATCTTTTATACCCTAATCTTCAAATTAGTTCAATCCACTGTGCTGATTTTTGTGCCTAGAACATGGTCAAGTCAGAAGGATAGTTTTTGCTGCCCCTGAAGAGATGTGTTTATTTTCCAGTGTCTCAACCAATAAGCTTTGATGATTGAACTCTTTCTGCGAGCTGCAGAAGAAGGGTGATGTGATCAAGCATTGTTACCACACAGTTCTCTGCAGGAAAAGCAGCTCCAAAACAAGCAGTGCTTTCTGACACGGCCTGAGGCTTAGATGAATTTTCTGAAAGGTGGCTAGTGTTTTCTACTTGCCTTTGTTTCTTTTCCTGTAATACACTGGTCTGGGTGACCAGATGTAGTGAAACATACCTTCCTAATAAAACTAAGGTAGACTAAACTGTGCAGCATTGCTGTGTTCAGACAGTGAAATTCCTTTTTATTGGCATTGCTCATTCCTTCATCAATTGGGAATGCTTTGATGGGACACAACTTCTTTGTTGAGGCAGCAATTAGACTCAGTCTTGGGGAAAATGTTAGTTAACTTTTGTGGTGTTCTCTGAGATGCATCTCCTGTGCTTCACAGATGAAGCTGTAAGAAATGAGCAGTGCTGGGCAGTAGCTCAGAGGGTTTGAGCTCTGTTGTGCTGGAATCTCTCACCCAGAAGATGCTGTTCCTTTAACTCAGCTGGCTCTGGTTCCCCTATCAAAATATTTCTCACTTAGAAATCTCCCCCAATGACTTTTCTCCCAGTCATTGCTTTTGATTTTGAAGTATTAGTCTTGCTGGTAGTGTTTCCTTTCACATGGTTTAATATCTTTGCTAACACAATGGCATTGACCTTTCAGATCTTCTTTTCACTTTTTTTTTTTTTCAAGTAGCACAGGATGAGTCCCTTTAGAGCTTGAGATTTTTCTTATGACCCATGTGAAGTTCCTGATTCTCTTTCTCAGAAATGCATCTGTTTATGAGTGTGACCGATGGAGCGATGTAGCACTGGCACTGAGGAGCCTTGAGCTCCTTTGAGTCATTTGTTCCACTGAGTGTGCCTTGGCTGGTGCAGCAAAACGTGTCTTAGAAATAAGGTTGTTCCCTTTCAGTTTAGCTGCTCCTGTTTCCTTTCTTCCTGTTCCACATGTATGCTTGTATGTCTGAGTACGCAGTTTTTCTCCTACCTTATCCACTCAGCCAAGTCCTTTGAAGCTTCTCATCAGCTGGGTGGGCTTTAGCAACAACAAAATACCTGGCCCTTTACTGACTATTTCCCTGCTGTATTGAAGGGAGGTGAGTTTTGATCCTTTTATTCAGGCTTTGTAAAATCAAACTTGTTTGAATTGCTTGGATGGATAAGAAGTTAATGCACCATGTGGGTGCACAACAGATGCAGCCTGAGCTACTGCCCAGCCTCTGCAGTGTACGCCAAGGCTGTGGGACAGACTGAATGAAAAACTTCAATTCCAAGAAGTACAGATGACACAAATTCTAAAACCCTCAGATCATTTTCTTTGGAACTGTTTTTGGGTCAGTGCTGTGCGTAGGCTGAAGTATTTGTCCTTGATACACAAAACAAGAAAATACATCAGTGGGAGTGAGGAGATCTGTAGGAATCCCAACATTCTTCCTAAAGGCTTTGGTTCCCTTCTAAGGCAAGGAGGTTGCCTTTCCCTTTGCAAATCAAGTTATGACAGCTGTAGAAAACCTGAGTGATAAGACAGAGATGAAATCTGTTCTTGAGGAGGCATAAACCATTGTTACTTAATGTTTATCTTAGCTTGTTGCACGTAGTGGTGTTCTCTCATTTACTTCTCCTGCTCAGAAACCCTCTTAGTGAATAGATCAGAGTTCTATTAGCAGAGACAGAATGAAGTGGAAAACAGTCCTCCTTGCTCTGAAGCCATGTTGTGGAGGTGCTGTACAGATTATACGGATGCCTATTTTTTATAGGTGCTTTACTATATAGCCTTCAAAAAGAGTACAGAGGGAAATCAAGTCATCAAGCTGTTCTCTTCCCAAACCCACGAACAAGAGATTATTGAGGGAAATGAACAAGAAATTGGTTGAAAAGACAAAAATATGTTTCCTGCTAGCTGAGGAGATCTCTGCTACATATTGGCAGATGCTGGTAGAGATGCTTTCTTCTGCTTATCATCTCCTAGCTCCTGCTGGACATGGTATGGAGCCAGGTGGCTTAGGTTCAGCACCACCTTGCCTATGCTGTGTATGCTGCTGTATCTCCTTCTGGCCTTTCTCTTCCCTAAGATATGCCCGTCCTTGTAAATGCATGGAGAACTCCTCTTTTTCCTACCCTGCCTATTTCAGGAGCATAACTGTAGCTCTGGGGATTACCTATAGGTATGGCAATGCTGGATAGAAGGACCCAGGTAGGAGAGATGGAGGGCAGGTCCTCTTCCTCCAAATAGGAGGTGTTTGTGCTAGACTATGCTCTCTCAAAACATCTGAAACTGTGAGAGGTTGGGCTTTAGCATAGCAAGTTTTCTTCACAAAGAATTTGGCTGTTGCAGTGCTGTTATCTAGAACACACAGGCCTGTCATGGCTTCCTTTTCTTCTTACAAATGGAGATAGAAGCAAGCAAGGCCTCCTCTGGTCGGGCAGCTGCGATTCACACAAATGGGAGGCAGGCGTTGTCTCTTATCTTGTGTACCAACGTGCTTCCCCAGGGCCTGACAGCATGCATGGCTGCCCTGGGGGCTGAGATCTCTCTTCATTTCCCAGAACTCTGCTGCTGGAGTGCTGTGCTCCTCTGGCTGCTGGCAGCTCCTGCAGTTTTAGCAATGCCTTTTGCTGCTTGGACTTGGTTTTGTGCACAAAAAGGGCACAAAAAGGCTCCAGACTCCTTGGGCAAGAATGGCTACATGCTTTGGGAGAACTGAGTCTTTCATTTCTAGCAGGAGATCTGCAGCTTGACCTCTTCCATACCACTGAGCTGGACTCTTCACATTGCCAGCCTCTCTGACAGCCTGTTTCATTGAGATTTCCCATCTGAGATATCCACGTGTCCTACAGCTGCAGAGAAGTCAGAATCACTAAGGTTGGAAAATACTTCTGAGATCCCAAAGTCCATCCCTACCCCCACCGCTGCCCCCGTCCTTCAGTGCCACATCCCTGTGGCTTTGGAGCACCTCCAGGGATGGTGAGCCCACCACACCCTGTGCAGCCTGTGTCACTGCATCACTGCTCTCTTGGAAAAACTGTTCCTAATATCCAACCTGAAGTTCTCTTTATGTTGCAATCTAAGGCCATTATCTCTCGTTCTAAAGTCCTCATGTTATCTTTTGTATCCTTCTCCCGGATTACAAAAAAAATTCATTTTTGTTTCAGCCATCCCCATCAGAAAACCACACGGCCTCTCCTCCAAGCCAGAATGGAAGGATGACCTGCCAAATAGCATTAATATTAACATGAACCTAAGGTGCAAAGTCCCTTGCTTTTGCCTCACATGCAAAACAGTGTTCTCACCAAAGCAAGCAAGGATGTAAGTTGAAAATAACGGATGGGATTTATCTATCACCCATCTTATCGGGTGCATCCTCTTCAGCTGCAGGCACACCCTGTCCGGGCACTTTGCCACATTGACCTGGATGGAATGGAGTTTATGTGAGTGTATTTTGATGACGAGGAGTGGTAAAGGAAAATGATGCTGGCAAATGGTCCAGTGCAATTGCTGTGGTTCCAACAGAGCAGCTGGATGTCCAGCAGGCTTAGATGGGGAGTTGTGTGACCGTAGGCTGTGTCTGTTCCTTCTGGTAACAGCCCAGGTTGGGTATGATGCACTTCCAGCATACTTCTGTGCACCTACCAGCAGTGGTTGTTCTTCCCTTTGGGGCTGTCCCAGCTCTCAGAATCCTCATGCCTCCTTCCTTGCAGAAACCAGTGCTGGCTCTTGTTAAGAGAGAGAAAAAGCAGCGTTTCCTTGTTAAACAGCCTGTGATTAATGCAGGCAGCAGAAGGAAATGTGGAATCTCATTACAGCACGAGTGACTCAGACTGGTGTTATGCCTGTAGTCTATGCAATGTGGGAGCACACCTGGGGAAACCCCAGGTGAAACCTGACCATTGCCCTGGGGCTATGGCAGCAAGCCAAAGAGCCAAGGGCTCCAAAGAAAGGGTGTTCCATCCATCCTTTCTTCCCTAAGTGGTGGGACAGGAGCTGCCATGAGGGCAAGGGAACTTGCTGCCATAACGTGGGGTGGTTTTCTGGCCAACGTTTCCCCATCGTCCTCTGGGACTCCCACACTGAGTAGCCTCATACTGACACAGTGCCTCACTGCAAGTCAGCTGCTGCTGAGATGTTGGAACAAGCATGGAGTGCTGTGCTGGCTGCCCCCCCGTGCCTGGAAGGGAATGAGAAGCCC